AACTATAACTTTTATATTATCCCACCAGAACACTGCGCTCGGAGAATGCAGGGTTACTCGTGGTCCCTAAAGTCTCCAAAAGTAGATCAGGAGCCAGAGCCTTCAGCTATCAGGCTCCTCTCCTGTGGAATCATCTTCCTGTTACAGTTCAGGAGGCAGACACGTCTCCACATTTAAGACTAGGCTTAAGACTTTCCTCTTTGATAAAGCTTATAGTTAGGGCTGGCTCAGCTACCAGCCCTTAGTTAGGCTGACTTAGGCCTAGTCTGCCGGAGGACCCCCTATAATACACTGGGCACCTTCTCTCCTTCTCTCTCTCTCTCTCTCTCTCTCTCTCTCTCTCTCTCGTGTCCTGTTACTGCATCTTGCTAACTCGGCCATTCTGGATGTCACTAACTCGGCTTCTTCTCCGGAGCCTTTGTGCTCCACTGTCTCTCAGGTTAACTCATATTGCAGCGGTGCCTGGACAGCGTGACGTGTGTGGTTGTGCTGCTGCCGTGGTCCTGCCAGATGCCTCCTGCTGCTGCTGCCATCATTAGTCATACTTCTACTGTTATTATACACATATGACTATTGTCACATATGTATACTATCAGATATTAATATACTTTCAACATATTGTACCACAGTAGCCAGAACTATAACTATAATATTATTACTTTCAATAATGTTGTTGTAAGCTACTGTCATTACTGTCTGTCCTGTATCTTTCTCTGTCTCTCTCTCTCTCTCTCTCTCTGTCTCATTGTGTCATACGGATTACTGTTAATTTATCATGCTGATCTGTTCTGTACGACATCTATTGCACGTCTGTCCGTCCTGGAAGAGGGATCCCTCCTCAGTTGCTCTTTGTGGGGGTTCTCCCCCGCCCCCCCCCCCCCCCATCAAGTGAGAGACTGCAGGCAATTCAAAGAATCACAGAGCTAGATGCAATGCTGCAAGTCCTAAAGGAGGTTATTCAGCTGTGATGGACAGAAATAAAGGAACATCTCCCCATGGAAGTGAAGGTATTTTCACCATACAGAGGAACAAAGAATGCAAAATGGAGTCATTATCAGAGGGGAGTGAGTGAAGGTGCCCACAGCACTAAGGTCATATATCATGCAAAGAACACACTTTCAAAGAATATAATACTTCACATACTTAATAATTCACATATAGGCATAGAGGAATGTCTGAGAAGGGCACCTGAGTGAAAACTGGGCGGGCATGATTGTGTAACTAAAAACACACATGGCCAGTCCAGTCCATGCAATGCATGGTGAGTAAAGCAGCAAAAAGAGACTCTTAGACCACATGAGACACCAAAGCATTACTGGAAGAAGATAGGTAATGACCTATTTGTGTTTCAAGACAAAAAAAATACTTGATTACTCTGCACTATTTAACCAACTTTTGGGAAGTAGATTGATTTGAAGACACAAAGTGAAAAAAAGTGATTTAAGTACTGAAAACTTTGCCAGATATGGCTTTTTTCAGATGTTGTGTTTTCTAACAATGGTCTTCGGCATACATCTGAGAATTACGCGGATTTCAACATCCTGGATGACCACCAGAGGCGGTGCATAAGCACTGAATGTCTTTGTCTTACGCATGCACAGGTCGAGTAGCTATACCAACAAAGTCACCTGTGACCCCCTGATGACCCCGGGCAGGCTATATCTTCCGATGTTGTCAGAGATCTGCAGATCTTCTCGCGAGGCAACAAGGATTCTGAGTGACTGAATGCTCTGGCAGTCATCCAGGATTCATAGAACTGTAGTTACATACAAAATTCTAATTCTATGTCATACTTCCTGAGCACCAGTGGCGGTGCATACGCACTGGATGACCCATACCAACAGAGTCACGAGGAATCCCAAATACATACCATTGAGTGGAAGCAGAGGAACTTGGTAGGAGGACAATGCCCAGTGGGTGAGGAGCGGCAATATTCACTTGATAAAACATGGTGAAGGTGCTCGGGACACCCACGAGGCCACAGCACATATGGCCTCCAGGGGCACCCCTCTCCAGACTACCTGTGCTGTCCTCACTAAAAGTTGTTGCAAGCAACGTATTTTTCAGCTGTACAGCCAGCTTAACATATAACAAGAAAGACTAAAACCTGAAACTAATAAAAACTAAACCAAAACTTAGCATTAAAAAATAAAAAAAACAAAAAAAAAAAACACAACAACTGAACCTAAATCAAAAACAAAAGGTCAAAATGAAATAAAAATAATAACTAATTATAAATGCTAAACTATAATAATCTTGGTAGGCCAGGCCTCTATGTACATAAAATCATTCCAGTGATTAAAACGTACCAGTAGCAGATACTTGTATGCTTTTTCTTAGATTTGGCTACTGTCAAACAAAAAAGTAAATTCATTCTTTAGAAACAGTGTAGCTTTATCCACTCAGCGCTTACAGAAGCTGCATTTGACGCAAAACAGCTGTGAACCGTGAACCCTGAACTGTGAACCCTGTGGATGATGCAGCCACAGCGTCAACATCTAATTGGAAGAGAGCACCATCAGTCATACATGCTGCATCGTGACTGATTGATTCACAGCGGGGGCTGACTTAACGGTCGGACAACAGTTAATGCGCTAAAACGGGCAGGAGGAATGGAGCAAGAAACGTCACAGGACGAAAAAGAAGGTAAGCTACATGTTTGTCAAACGTTATATGGGTAAAAGTTTTTAACATTTAGATGGTGAGTACTTATGTTGGTTCTGATACTTTCTGAAGGAACTGGTCAGCATATGTGGCAAATAGTTAAGCTAGCTAGCGAGGCTATAACGTTAAGCCAGGACCACATGTGGCTCTGAACTTGTTATGGCACGTGTGTGTCCACGAAGCGCCAGCGTCCTCTTTCAGTCGTTCCCAGTGAGCAGAGAGCTATGCCTCTCTTTTCAGAGCGCTCTGAGTGCTTCTAGATGAAGATACGTCGTGAACTCTTCAGAAAGGCGCTGGTGTCTTCACTGCTACTCTTGCGACTTGTCACCATGGTAACCAAATGCCCACTTTATGTAAATAACATGCAGTTTGGGAAAAAGGATGTCATTTTTTCATTCAGTAGGAATATGTGTTTGTTTCTTTTGCCTATTCTAAAAAGGTGTATTTGATTATTTTTACACATAGCCGGCCCTAAACTGTCCTGCAGTTACATAAATCATATATGACTCGAAAGCTTAGGCTCTTGTTGTTCCAGGGAGCCAAAAGTGTATTCATATGTGATGAGCTTATCGCCCATAGTAGCTATTGCATTGTAGGGAGACCATTAAGACCATTTCCTCTAGATTCATGCAGCTAACATATATAAACTTGAGATGTAGGGCATTGAGAAAGTGCATCTGTCCAAGATATGTTATCAGTAAGCAGGAGTTTCCGAGCAATGTCCAGAACAGAAGAGCTCAACAACTTTTCCCAGTAAAATGCAATTTTAACAGAAATCTCAAAAACATCAAATGTCACAGCCTGGATTTTTCTATGATGTTCCTTTAAGGTCTCTGTGTCTTATTGTGGTGTGTCTGGTGGATTTTAGATTGAGTGTTTCAGTTCTTGAGTGGTCTGATATGGCTAAATTAACACAATCTGTGTATCCAAAGGTATCAACAAGTTGCTGTACCAAATTATGTCATATGACATAATGACACGATAAAACAAAGTAAGAAGTTGAACCACCTTTTTAAATAAAATTGTACTTTTATTTAACAGAATGGATGGCCCAGCAGGAAATACTAAAAAAGAGATGCCCAAAAGAGCGCGAAACCCACCGAAGAAGATAAGATGTTATGAACCAGACCCTGGCTCACCCAGAGATGACCCGGATGGTAGTTGAGTTATTATTTTACTACACGGCTTAGCTATTTTTAAAGTTATTGTTATTTTTAACTTACTTTAGGTGATACTATAATAATCAAAATCTTTGACAGTCTCTAGTCTCTTATCCCCGGGATTATTATTATCAATATATTGGCAGCTTCAGGCAAAAACAATGATTTACAGGAATTCAGAAAAGTGAGAGTAATCCTCGCTTGAAACTGTGCACATTTTACTGACAGAATTTTGCAGCTCTGTAGGTCAATTTATCACTACACTTGGGGCTGGAAGATTGATCTCAAGTTGCTGATACCTGCAGAGACTCTGTTGTCACTTGATTGCTGTTTTTAGGATTTAATTGTTTCAAATGTATTGACAATTTACTGAACAGTTTCAGCAGCCCAACATTAAAAAAAAAAAAACGCAATTTGAGACAAGGTGACAAAAACAGAAGAACATGAAGAACAGAAATAGAGATAAGAAAGATACATTTTTAGTTGTGCTAAGGTCTAAGAGGATTAGAATTGAGACCAATAAGATATAGTGGCATGTTTAAGTAAGATTATGATTTTTAGCCTGTACTGGTTTTCTCAAAATTTTTATTATTTACTCTGTGTTCATTTTCAGGATGTTTAGTATTTTTGACATTTGAAGATGGATACACAGCAAAGATTTGTAATGCCTGTGATATACTAAGCAAAGATGATAAACCCATTGCTTGCTTCAGAGATCTGAAGCCAGGAGAAGAAGTACTTGCAAGATGGTCTGACAGCAAGTTCTACAGTGCCACAGTGGACTTCATTGGAACAGCTGACAAGACAGTCGATGTCAAGAAGGGCACAAAGAAGGACATGAAAAAAAGAGATGCAGCTGCTCAGAGATCCTACAACCTTCCATCCCTGTCTCAAGCAGGTCAGTCCACCTCTGCACAGCATCACCCAAATACTGTGGACCACAGTGTCATCCAGCCTCCAACTGCCTGGCCAGTGTACCAACCTCCACCTACCAAGTCATCTCCACCTACCCAGCCACATCACAGGCCTCCACCTATCCAGTCATCTCCACCTTCCCAGCCACAGCACCGGCCTGTAACTGCCTGGCCACTGTACCAGCTTCCAGTTTACCCAGTCATTGCCACATACCCATCCATATTATCAGCATCCACCCATCCAGCCTCTCCACACCAATACACACAAAAACCCTGCTGTTCTTGGGGACCAGAGCCAGGCTAGTAGGTCTAAACTTGAGAATTCTTCAAGCTCAACTGCAGATACTATAATCATCGAGCATGATTCAATACCAGATTATGGAGAACCAATTCTCAGACCGCCTGAATCAACAGAAGACAGATCATGAAAGCCATGCGGGGCATGCAAGGCAGAGGTGGCAAAATTAATGGAGGAGAAGGACAAACTGCAGGATGTGCTGTGTGTTATCAGTAAGTACATTTTGTCTCTCTGTTGCAAATTTACGCAATTTCAGGATTTCATTGTTCCTTTAACACTGTTCATTTTTTCTCTCACTATTTTCCTAAGGTAACCAATTGCTATTCAGTACACACAAGCACTGTAAAATGAGTTATAATGCAAAGAATGTGGGCAATAATCAAGTGTAACTGATTGTGGAACATTAAATTCTAATAGTTTAATATTGATAAATGTAAAGTTCTACTAAATTTTGTTACTTTGGACATTTGGGAGTTATTGGGTGCTTAAACTCAAATTTAAAAGCTTTAAATTGTTTGGTAAAAATCTTAGCCCATGATGAAATCTTTGGATTTTTTAAAACTTGTCCCCTCCTTTTCTTGACTTTATGAATGCTGCTGTGTCCCTGTAAAGTAATTGATCTTTTGTGTCACAGGTGGTGACCACATCAAGGCGTTAAAAAGCTTTCTGGACAAAGTGGAACAGATCCAACCTCAGACTGGTGTTTGGGCTCTAAAAAAAACAGATGTGGGAAGCAAGAGCTGTATCCAGAAAGTGGCCTCTTCCTCACCTCTACCCGCCTGGCTGCAATCCGTGCGGAAGCAAGGAAGGACTGCCTTTGCTTATTCCATCTTCTTTTCGGTGAATTCTTTAATGCAGAGGAGTGCCAAAATGCTGTGGCATTTGGGAAACACGGAAAGGTGCCAGATGGAAAGACGGTGCTGGATAAGACCAAAGTCGTTGGGATTCTAAGTAAGTACATTACTCATTTGAGAGTTAAAAAAATTTATGGAAATGTAATGGAAAAGTTTTGGAAATTCATTGGTAAAAATGTGTGGCAACCCAATATAGAGAGCCAAAGTCATACCCACGGTGGATCCCTTGGGACCTTATTTTGGAAAAAAAAATATGTATGGCAGTGAACGGCAAGAGACAACTAATTTTTTTGATCCTGTTTGAATTGTGTCATGAATTACACATATGATGTTTGTCAATTTACAGTATAACTTTACAACTCTAAAAGTCAGTTTGTTGACAAACTGTATAACACTGTGAAAATATTTAATTAGACTACACACTACACAGTTGCATAAGTGACGTCATGCTACCCAGAACTGCTGAAGCTAGCGTTAACACGATGCCTGCATGTTTAGTTCCAGCATGTAGTCAGACATAGATTGGGTCTTGCTTGTTCTTTGGTACCCCAGCTGAAAAGGAACAGGAGTCGCTGGATAAAACACATCAGGCAAGATACATTTGTGTGTATAACAGGTAAGTTGATGCTATTGATGTATACTTTCATGCTTATTTTTATGCTTTTATGCTTCTTTTTTTTAATCAGGTAACATTAGAATATTGATTAATATAAATTGACAAACATCATATGTGTAATTCATGACGCAATTCATGGGATCAGAAATCAAGTTGTCTCTTGCCGTTCACTGCCATACATATTAGGGGTGTCATGATTCTCCAAGTCCTCAATTAGATTTGATTTTCGATTTTAAGGTCACGATTCAGTTCGATTCTCAATCTCTTTTTCTGTTTTTGCACAAATGGTATGCCACTTTAAGACAAGTCTAATCTGGGAACATGGTTTTATGCCATGATAACTCATTTAATTTTTAATTCTTATTTCAAAAGATGGTCTACATGGTGTCATGAGTGATATAATCTCCATTATTTGTTTGCAATGTACCACACTATGGCCTTTTTGTCAGATTTAAATAATTTATTAACAATATAATGTAAGAATAAGTTGTTTCACCAGTCAGTTGGGAAATAACTAAAAGGTTTTATTGCTGACAACACTAACGACAACCTGAGCCTCTAACCCAAAGCTGTGCTAGAGTTCTATATTGGGCCTTTAAGAAGCAGGAACCAGAGATTTTTTTCCACAAAAATTCTACTTGTTTAATTTTAATTAACAACTAATCGATTAATAGTTACAGCTCTAGAAAATCAGTTTTAACATCAATTTAAGTGTTTTTGTTTGTTTGTCTTCAACGACCTCAAGTACTGCTTAAAGGTAGGATCTGGAGGATTTTCAAACAAAACAAAATATAGACATATACAAATGAAATCCTGCTTAATCATCACCTATGGGCTTCTACTCATGTGTGGTGGTGACTCTGTCAGAGCTCCTGCCCTTTAACTGTATTTTGATGTTTTTGTGAGCTCGGACCGCTTCTGGGAGGAGATTTCCCCAGCCAATGAGAGAGTGCAGGTGCCGTGCCCGAGCGTGTCCGAGCGTGCACCAGCACGAGCCTTGCCTGAACCTCTTCTGTGAAGCCTTCTTTCGTACCTCCGGGCTCTGTACACCTGGGAGAGTTGAGCCTGAGAGGAGGGGCCAAATTTGAATGTGTGTTTACAAACAGCAACTGGAAAATCCTCCAGACCCTACCTTTAACATGCATCCAACCATCAACTTTTTCAACCTAAAGAAGAGCAAATCATTTTCAAAAATGAAGTTGTCCTAATTCTAGTTTTTATTTCTAGTATGTTTTCCCTCTTTCTTCTGCCCCTTCTCCTCAGATTCAACACCATCTCTGGCCAAATTTGTATCACGTAGCTACATTTAATATTGTGATTGTTCCAGTGTCCTCACAGTTTTACTGAATTTCCTCATGTGTGAATCATAGAAATATTACAATATGACTTTTGCGATATCAGGATAAAAAAATCTCAGTACTGTTGTGGTAACTGCTGTTACATTATGCAGTTTGTAATTTGTGCTTTCTTTTCTTTCTTTTATTCTTGCAGCTTACATCATGCGCTGTAGTACACTGGATGGATGGACACCAGTTGAGAAAAGTAAGATCAAAAAAGCTTTCATAAACAAATGCCGCATGAGGGGCACAAACACTGTGTAAATTCTTGAATGTGGTATACTGGAGTGATGGACATTTGTTGAGGTGACCCTGTTCAAGAAAGCCCTGTATACAAATGCTGCATGAGGGCCTTAAAGACTGCAAGCTGTTGAATGTTGTGCATTGTTGTAAAGCTGTGCTAATACTGCTCAAAACACTGTTAGAGACACTGTTATTCTATTTTTAAAAACATAGCTTTACTGAGAAGAGGCACATTTATGTTCAGATTTTATAATGATGACAATGTTGGAGTAGCTTTTGCTGTCTTTAAAGTGTTAACATGTTATTACAGCTACCTGAAATACTCAATTGTGATTGATTAGTAAGTTAAAAGTGCGATTTTTGATAATTTGAATATTCCATACTAGAGTGATGGACATTTGCTGAGGTGACCCTGTTCAAGAAAGCCCTGTATACAAATGCTCCATGAGGGCCTTTAAGACTGTAAGTTGTTGAATGTTGTGCATTGTTGTAAAGCTGTGCTGATACTGCTCAAAAAACTGTTAAGAGACACTGTTACACTGTTGTAAAAACATAGCTTTACTGAGAACAGGCACATTTATAGTTCAGATTTTATAATGATGACAATATTGGAGTAGCTTTTGCTGTCTTTAAAGTGTTAACATGTTATTACAGCTACATATTGCCAACAAATTGGTGTGTTCACCCCTACACAAAACTCCAAATCTTACCAAGTACATTTATCTAATTTCTTGTCTAAGTTTCTAATGAGACACAATCACCAAAGTCATTGAGATACAGTGGCAGAGACAATGCCGACAATGCACCTTAGTGACAAGCAAATTTTACTTCTTCCATTTTTTTTTTTTTTTTTGTATAAAGTATTTTTAAATTAAGTGTATTCTTTGACAAGAAAATAGACAAATATGCTTGGTTAAAGCCACAGTGTGTAGGAATTTCTCCCATCTAACGCTGAAATCATATATTGTATTCAAACAGATGGCGCACTGTAGCGCCTCACTGTTTCAAACACGTATTGCAACTACTGCTACTAGCCGCTGTGTACCAAAAAGCTATGATAACACTGATGAAACCATGTCATCCGATACTACATGGAGTATTCATTCAGGCTCCTACACAGACACACACGACGCGAGTTGACAAACCCCCTCCTGTGTTTACAACGTAGGACTGTTGGAGTGGATGTAAATTGAAACAAACCGATCACGTCTTGTCTTTTGACAACTGACAAGTGGCTCAACCTCACACACCTCATCCCTCTCCTAGCATTACTGCACCACTAACAGCTGTTAGTGGCCAGCGGCACTACTGCCGCATAACAAAGTCCCACTCTTTGAGCATAATGCAGGATCATGTATTATGCAGCATCATGGGAGACGGAATCCTCGTCACCAAGAAAGTGCAAAAGGGAATCAACAAGGCAGTGTGACCGGCGAATTAAAAAAACAAGGGTCAGCACTGGGGTTGCCTTTCCCAGGTGGAGAGAGCTGCTGAAGGAGAAAGGTAATACAATCACAGGTCAACACTAACAGCGGCTCACAGCGGCTAACAGCGGCGCAGTGATATTGAGGAGAGGGATGAGGCTGTTAGCGACTGGCCGCTAACAGCGGCTAACAGCAGCTAACAGCCAACAGCGGCGCTGGCCTGTGATTGCATTACCATTCTCCCTCAGCAGCTCTCTCTACCTGGGAAAGGCTACCCCGATGTGGGCCTTTGTTTTTTTGATTCGCCGGTCATGTTGCCTTTTCTATTTCCTTTTGCGCTTTCTTGGCGACAAGGATTCCGTCTCCCATGATGCTGCATATGCATGATCCTGCATTATGCTCAAAGAGTGGGACTTTGTTTCAAATTTGCCAGGGTAGTAGCGAAGCGCCTCTTGCTCCTCTCCTTCGGCTCCTCAGTCACGCAGTGCTGACCTGGCTCTCAATGAAAACGCAGAAGGCGGTGCTGTATGTCCCTTGCTGGCGGGTGTATTCTCAAGATAGCGAAACGTAATGGAACCCCACAGACGACTTACCTGCACAATGTACAAACAAATCCGAAATTCACCTTTTACAAGAATAAGTCAGATTATTGGTGGAGGTAATAGTACACCAGTGATGACATATTTATGAATGCAGACATCAATTTTTGCCAATAAACAACTGAAAATGTTACACAATGTCCCTTTAAGATTTTTGGTTTTTGCAGTGTAGGTAGTCATTGTACTTACAAATTGACTACTGCTCAATAAAGACATATTTGCTCCAGATTTTGTAAGTGCCGTGTGTGTGTGTGTGTGTGTGTGTTAGACAAAAACTAGAGGTAATTATATTTTATTAGATATTAAACAAACACAGTTATACCCTAATAAGAGCAAACAAGACGTACTTTGGAACAAATTAGACAAAAACTAGAGATAATTATATTTTATTAGATAATAAACAAGCACAGTTATATCCTAATAAGAGCAAACAAGATGTACTTTGCAACAAATTTGACAAAAACAAGAGGTAAAATATTTTATTAGATATTAAACAAACACCAACAAATCCCTTGTTGCCTGGATGGCTCATTCTCTGGAGTCCCATTGATAGGTAGTAATACATAGCGACCCTTAGTCAACCTGAACTAGATCTTATTAGAGGCTAATTAGGTATAAATTACAGCAAAACCGTACTCTAAATTAAAGTCTGCACCGTTCTGCCCTATTCAACCTGAACTAGATCTTATTAGAGGCTAATTAGATATAAACTACAGCAAAACTGTACTCTAAATTAAAGTCTGCACTGTTCTGCCTTATTCAACCTGAACTAGATCTTATTAGAGGCTAATTAGGTATAAATTACAGCAAAACTGTACTGTACACTGAAGTGTATTATTCAAAGTTTTTAATAAATACAACAACCAATAAAAATTTCTGGGTAAGGGTTACACAGGAAGGTGCAACACCCCTTGGCGCAGGGGCTCCAGGGATGAAGAGTTAATGTTGCCCCCGTCCTCTTCTTGCTGTAGTATGTTTTAGGTGTTCAGCTGCATGTCTTCGGACATTACCTGTTCCCTCTTTAAATTACTTCAGGACGGCGTCTGTAATAGTTGGAAGACAAAAAGTGTTAGCAATGCATAAGCAATCTGTAAGCCATGCACTTGAGCACACTGTCTGCATAAATATATAGCTCCATTTGCTGTATAACAAAGCTAGAGAAACTACATTATACTACCTCAGTCAAATACACATCTTGAAAAGTGCTGCAACCAGCAAAAGAACATCTAAGATACTTTGTATGTCAGGGTTCAATATAACATTTCTTCCCTACTTCCCTACTATTTTCACTGGCCCGGCTGCTAAAAAAATGAAAATAACTTTTTTTTTTACCTAAGTTTTATTAATTTATTGATTTCATCTTACATTAATTTCATTGAAATGAATTCACATCAATTGTACACATTTCAGATAATAACAGATAACTAACAGACTAATTATAATTTATCAGAGAAGAGAATTTTGGACTGTTGAAGCTGAAATATACATAGTGTGCCTGTATAAAAAGCAGGCTATATTAAATTTTCAGATATTTGCTTTCTAATTATTATTATCTTCTTTATTATTATTACTATCATCATCATCATCATCATCATCATTTTCATTATCTATATTACTCTTATTCTTATTACAACAACATTTTGCATCTCATCTTATTCATTAATGTAACTAAGTAGACATTCTGGGCTTGTATGATCTGTGTTTTTCGGTGTACGACACTTGAGAATTATTTTGAAGAAACATTTTATTTGTAAGGATTGTTAATATTCATGTTCAGTTAATGTGGTAAATATTTTGTTAAAAGAAGACTATGCATTTCATTTCAGTATTTGAGTTTGAGGTAATAAGTACACAAGTTTATTTCCAAGTAAAATGCCGCGACAAGTAAAATGCAGGGACTTCACTACCCAGAATGCTCTGGGAGAGGCACGTATCACGTGATGACATCAGTTAGCTTCTGTGTTAGTAGCCAAGCTGAAATAAAGTTTAAAAAAACAGACAAGCTGTGTACTTCTCGTTTGCACGAGCTCACGTGTCCGTGGCTTTTGTCATTCACCAATGATGAGGTTTGATTTTAAGTAGTGATGTTACGTGGTGTGCCGATGCTTCGAAGCGTGTGTCGAGTAATCCAGGAAGAGTTTCCGCGATGCGCGTATCAAGGCTTGTAGCGTTTCAGACAAATGACGTCATTGATAACGTCCGAAGCCTTGCTGCCCGGCTGTACCATCTGACTGCTTCGGGCAGCAGTTCAGATCTTGGTGTGAGGTCTGCACAGAAGTGACACAGAACACGAATATTACCCCTTTTGCCATTATTATATTATATGACAGTACACCACAATACAATTTTTGGCCAAATTATTGGTTTATACACATAGGATGCATTCACAAAACAATAACAGTTTATTGTACATGTATTTGATACAGTATAGTCCTGATATACTCACTAGAAAATACACTATATTGATAAAAATAAAGTTATATGGTCATATATTTTTATTATATTTATTATTATTAGTAGTATATATCATTATTGTTATTATTATCATCGTCGCCGTCGGCGTCGTCATCATCATTATTATTATTATTAATAACAGTCATTCCCAACACCCATTACTGACACAAAATACCGTGTATCACAGATTACATGGTTAAGATCGCAGCTGCCTGTCTTACAAACTTTGGCCAGCAGGTGGTTTCGTGTGCACATGAAGCCTCGAGAAATGAACCCTTTTCTGAACCAATTTGCTGGAATGCTTCATGAGGCTTCATCTCACCATCACTAATTTTAAGTCCAGGGTCTCATCCATTTTTAAGGTTTTAAGACGAAGCTGTGACAACTGGAATTAACTACGTTAGCATTAGCTAGCGTTAGCCAGCATTAGCTAAAGCAAATATCTGAAAAACTAATATAGCCTGCTTTTTATACAGGCACCAAAATTCTCTTCCCTGATAAATTATAATTAGTCTGTTAGTTATCTGTTATTATCTGAAATGTGTACAATTGATGTGAATTCATTTCAATGAAATTAATGTAAGATGAAATCAATAAATTAATAAAACTTTATAAAAGTTATTTTAATTTTTTTAGCGGCCAGGCCAGTGAAAATAGTAGGGAAGTAGGGAAGAAATGTTATATTGAACCCTGACATACAAGTATCTTAGATGTTCTTTTGCTGGTTGCAGCACTTTTCAAGATGTGTATTTGACTGAGGTAGTATAATGTAGTTTCTCTAGCTTTGTTAT